TGACACATTGAATTTATAGCAATTCATATATTACTTAATCTATTAATCATATAGACTCTTTATTAGTTGTTGATGCAGTAATCATTAATTAATGGTTTAGTTCTTCATTAGTTATGCATTAACTCATGATTATCTGTGCATTAGTTAAGCATGAATTAATGGATATTAGTGCACCCGTATTGTAAAGTGTTACCAGCGGCTCTAAAAAGGCAATAGTAAACAGTCATTATACAGTTGAAATCAGTTCAGTGTTGATTCAATAATTGTGTAAAGATCATCAAAGGTGGAATAAGTTCAATATGGATGGATGCATGAATGGATGAATGGGTAGAATAACAATAGATTGCCTCAGACAAGTGAATTCTCTTTATCTTCCCTCGTTCAGTCCTGTTGTCTTCTGTAAACTGTTTACACACAATATGGATGGTCGTCATGGAGACGGATCATGGATGTGGTGGAGGGAATCACAGGTGTTCCTGTTTGGATTCTCATGGGTTTGTGTGTGTATGCGTGTGTGTTACGGAACTTTTTCTTTTTTGGGGGGGAAAAATTCCACCGCTGCTCGGACATCTCCCTCAAGGCCGATTTATTTATTTCAGCCGTCCAGTCACCCAGACACGTTTACATGAACAGAGGAGAGCGCTCTTCCTGTTAGTTCTAATCTTCCTCTTCTTCTGAAAAACCATCCGTCTCGTTTTGCGACCCTCCTCGCCCCCGGGGCCGGCCCATGCTTTATGCTCCTCCTGCCTCCACCGCTGATAAACAAGACCACTAGATAACGGCTAATTGCAGGATTATCGTTTATGAGCACAAATTGACAGCTGAGGCTTTTGCAGCCGCGTGCCACACGCACAAACACCGAAGAACGAGAAGTAGAGGTTGTGCAATCAACAAGGTTAGACTAAACGGCTGCATATCAGCCCGAGCACACAGTTTTAGATTATATCGTCATGTATTGAGTGTTAGAATGACAGCTCATATCACTATAAAAACGACAGGTAATTACAAGAAAAGGCACCTGACTGGAGTTCTTATCAGAAGGATAAACAGTGAGACAGTTTAACAGTAGTTTAATCGTTTTCACAGCAATGCTATATGATGAAATGAGCAGATTTATTTCCATATTATCTGAGTGTTGAGAATGTTGATCACATCAGTAGAGGCTGTTGAGATAAGAATATGTGATTACAGTGCGAGCGTGTGTTTTCAACACCGTTACATCTATGATTGCCGTGATTACAGGGGAATAGAGGCATATATATTAAAAATACACTCACCGGTAGGGTGACCACCTGCTAATAAGCCCAAGGGGGGACAAGGGGTATGTTTCTGAGGGACAATGTGGGACACTGCTTGGCGCAGCGTTGCCCCCACCCCACGGGCAGACTCACTGATAGTGGTTTACCCATATCTAGAATTGTTACTTTTGCCTTACTGTTTGTACATGAATAATTGTTCAAAAAAAAAAAAGTACATACCTTAGCACATACATTAAAAATGCCCTATTCCCTAAACATGTGTAATTGCTGATATATGCTCATGAATAGGCCAACCAATGTGTATTTCTTTCTAAATAAAGATGAATATTTTGAACATTCATTGAATTGACAGATGCACTTCCACTTGCGATTTACTTTAGCTATTTAATTTTATTTATTTTTTATTACAATTAATTCACTTTAAATCAATAAGAATATAAAATTATAGGATTAACAGGAATTATATTTGCTCAACACCACAGGAACAGTTTTAAAAAAAAAAAAAGTCGAAAAAAAGTCCAAACTCACAACTCCAGAGGTTCACGGAACGAGAAGGTGCGCTGTCATGACAACAATGACAACAACAAAAGTTGACATCAACCTAGTCAGCAGGTCACGTGGGAGTGGCAACCAGTGTTGGGGAAGTTCACTTTCTACATGAACTAGTTCAAAGTTCAGTCCACACATTTTAAAATGAACTAGTTCAGTTCAAAGTTTGCACAGAAATTCAAGATTTTTCCCATCCTCACCGACCTCGTTATAAAATCCGTTTAAATGATCATACGACGCCTTTGTCGACGGCGGCCGCGGTGCGACACTGGTGGCTTGTGTTGCCAGATTGGGGTTTTTTTCGCTACATATTAAGTCCTGTTTAGGGTGAGTTTTAGCCGGGTGTTCGCCTGGATGGCTCTATAGAAATCTGGCACCCCATTGAACGAAGTTAAACTGATAGAGTTCACCAGAATGAACGAGTTCACATGTTCATCAGGACAGGACAGGCAGTTAAACAATACGTTCAGTTCACCCAAAATATGAACAAGTTCATGAACGTAAACGTGTTCAGGCACAACGTTTGGCTGCCTGGGTCTCGAGGATATAGAGTGACCACCTTTTGCCTTCAAAACTGCCTTAATTGTTAATAGCATTGATTCAACAAGATGCTGGAAACATTCCTCAGAGGGTATGTGCGTGACGTCACCGTCGGCCTGCAGTTCCTCACGGTGAGTGGCAACAAAGACTGAGCGGCTGTATTTGTTATTTGTGTGAATGCCGGGAAAAACAAACACAACACATATAAAGTGGGAAAGGGCTTTGCGATTGACTGTACAACTAGATTTGACAAAAAAATCGGAGGTATATTTTTACAGACTGCTATAGGAGCAAATGGATTGAAACACTGGACAAGGTGGATCATTTTGTGTCAATATGCTGTATTTAGCTGTAAAACCATACACATATATTTTGTATTGTTATATTAACAACTCATCAATTATATATCATTGCATATTCTGCATTATTGGATGTTTTTTAATAAACACTAACCCCAAAAAACTATAAAGTTTTAGGGCTGGACGATATGATGATATAGGCTATATAACACTGATATAAGTGATCAGCCGGATTTAGACCTACCTATATTGTATTTATATAAAGCGTTCACAGGCAAATTTGCTTTATGTTTAGGTCTATATTGCTTTTATTTCCCCAGTGTCGAAATCAGGCAAACATAAATGTCAGGCGACACGATTCCTGACTGCATGTCAATATCCATAGAGTTGTAAGAAACACTATATTGAGTCCAACATTTTGTTTAAATTGATAAAATTGTTCGTTTTAGTCGCATTTTCGCAGTTTCCCTTATTAAATCCAGTCATCTTTTGCCACTCAGTCAGGCTGAGGGGGGTCGTTCTGTAAGGGTCAAGGTGAAGGCCGAAGGGCCAAATGCACTTTGTTCTCTCTGTCTAGCTTCTGATTATTGAGAAAATCACAGGCAATGATTACAAACCCGAACACAAATTTACACAAGCAAACACACCCTGGTGCACATTTACCCATGTGATGACACACTTACACTGATGACATCATTGGAATGTGTTGTGGAGGAGGGAGAGGTGGAGTATCAGGACAATTCAATGTGTAAGTGTGTGTCTTTATATATCTGCAATGGCCAGCCGTGTTTTATCATGTAATGTAATGTAGCGAAGCCAAGCATATGCTGGCAGAACGGCGATTAACACTCAGAGGAAGCCGCTGGTCTCTCATCGTCTCGCTCATGAGAGGTATGGGACGCCCCTATCCTAATCTCATCCCTCTCTCTGTCCTTCGCTCTCTCTCTCTCTCTCTCTCTCTCTCTCTCTATCTCTCTCTCTCTCTCTCTCTCAACAAACAATGACCTTAAAAGAAAGGAATCTTATCTCAGAACGTACTTTGGAATTTCTATCAAATGCAAAGTACCCTATATGTTTGTCAAAAGGTAGAGAGAGAAAGTTGCTCACCTGTATATAACTCGGATTAACTCCCAGCATGCACCAGCTCATTTAATTGCAATTGTAGTTTTGTCTGTTTTCAAATGGTTCAGTTTTCAGATGAAGGTCTGCAAATACTACTATAATCTATATAGAAAGAATCTGAGAAAATAGTTAAAATAGTAATTTTGAACATTTGAACTATTTCCAAATATTTGTATTTTAAAATTCACACACATTCAGTCTAAATTGTACTCTGTCTAATATGCCGAAAAGGGCTTAATTTGTTGTCAATTTCAAAATACATGACATGAGTCATGTACACTGCAAAAAAAATTGTTGGTTCAACTTAAAAAAAAGTAAGTAACCTGGTTGCCTTAAAATTTTAAGTTCATTGAAATGGAAAAAGTGAGTTAATACAATGAAGGAGATTGATTTAATCATCAGAAACTCAAAATATTATGTTATCTGAACTAAATAAATTATGTAAGTTGATTTGACAAAAGAAAAAATGTTGTGATTACTACACTGTAAAAAAATATTGTTGGTTTAACTTAAAAAAATAAGTAACCTGGTTGGCTTAAAATGTTAAGTTCATTGAAATGGAAAAAGTGAGTTCATACAATGAAGGAGATTAATTTAATCATCAGAAACTCAAAATATTATGTTATCTGAACCACATAAATTATCTAAGTTGATTTGACGAAAGAAAAAATGTTGTGATTATAAATCATTTTTTATAGTGATGATAACGGCTATTTTTGAAATTGACGAGCGCTGTTTGACCGTTTTGGCAGCCTGACACCAAACAGAGCGGTTCGTATTGAATTATTGGTCATATTGATTACCATATTTGGACGAATTCAAAATTTCGATTAGTTAAAAAATAAATCTCCCGTGGTTTCCCTAAATGCCTATGCTAAGTAATTCAATGGATTGGGAAAGTGTGCCAGTATATGCTAAAACTGAAAATACAAGTAAAAGAAAAGTTTATTGAGCGAGCAGATGGTGACAGTCAAACAACAAAGATTCAAGGGATTAAGAAGAAATATTTCCAGTGACATTTGAGGGTTGCATTCGGTTATATGTCATTTTTTTCGTGCCGGCCACAAGCCAGAAACAGCACGCCACAACAGAGAAGAATAGTTTGTGAATAAATTCTCACAGATCAGTACAGGCACACCACAGCCAATAAATAAATGAATTAATTCAGGATGCCCCACCCATGCCGGAATGCAGAAGACTCTCCCAACTCCGATGACATCTCTCTCTGTTTCAAACAGAGACTGTGAACATCAACCAAGAGCAAGTCTACTGGAAGATCCTCACTTTTATCATTCAACAGTAGTCACTTTTTATTTCTAGACAAACCCACTCACTCAACAGCAAACTTTTGGGTGAGTCTTTCCAACACTGTAAAAATGAATTCCGCTTTTATAAAAAAAAAAAAACAAAACAGATTACAAGCAATATTATTAATTAAATTTAACAATAAAATTGAGTAATAATTAATCAAATGAATGCATTAAAAGTTAACCATTTTTTAGAAAGTCTGTTTAAGTCACCATTATGGTGATCAGTGTTGCTTTAAAATGACGGTTTTCACTCTCAGTGATTCTGCTTAAAATCGGGTGTCTTCAATGTTGGCAATATAAAATGCAGATAATATAAAATAATTAATCTTTCTGTTATTCAGATATTTTTGTTTAATTTTTGGTGTAAACTTTACTCATTTTAAATGGTTAACTTTTAAGGAATATTTTGATTAAGTATTAATTTGTTCAATTTTGCTTGTAATCTGTTGCCACAATAAATAAAATAAATAAATACATCTATGATTGCCGTGATTACAGGGGAATAGTGAGGCATATATAGTAAAAATACACTCACCGGACACCTTCTTAGTACCGAATGGGACCTCCTTTTGCCTTCAAAACTGCCTTAATTGTTAATAGCATTGATTCAACAAGATAAAGCATATTCATTTTTACAGTGAACATTAAACTTTTGAAAGGGCAAAAACGAAGCAAAATGCATTTAGGAAGGGAGGAGAAAACTCGTCCCGTATCTAGGCCGTGAGACCAATCGAACTTTGACATTTTACAGCAGATTAATCTGTCTGGAGAACTATAGATAGGACAGGTTGCATGACATTAAACTATAACTACACAATATAAAAGAAAATATGACCCTGACTTCATCATTAACTGTGGTTTAACCTGCAGTGAAGACAATTTCTGGGGTTTTGTTGGCTGTTTTTCACGCTGTTGTGTTAAAAAAAAAAAATTGCGTATTGTCGTGCCTGTGCAGTTTACATATGGAGTTAGAAAAATGACAAAAATTTTCAGTTTTAGGCTGTTTGCTATTTTGAACTTAATCTAAAAAGTCGAGGTGCAATTCAAATGAGAGAATTTTAGAATTCAGATTAACAACAAATTCGAAATTCTAAAAGTCAGTCACCACAAACAAACGTCATAACAGTGTCCAGCTCCACATACATCTTAATGAATTTCAATGTCTGATTTTCACTCTGACTTGCACTTGACGTCCGACACAAAACTCCTATGCCACAGAAGATTCTGGAAAGCAGTGTCCTTGTACGAGTGTGTGTGTGTGTGTTGAGAAGGGGGTGTTTCAACTGATTCAACAGATGCAATCCAATCTGTCAGACGATGCTTGTGAGGTTACAGACATTTTCTCATTGCCCTGCCAGATGCATACCAATGCAGTCCACCCCACCGGAAGGACGAGTGCACCTTGCTCCCTGTCTCGTTCCTAGTTCCTTTCGCACTTATTATCGTCCCTCTCTCTCAATTCGTGGTGATAGATGTGTTTTCCTGGCACCCTCTGGCTGTTCATTAGCACCAGTGACAGTGAATTAATCTTGTATCATCATTAGTTCTCCTTCACCTTTCGTGACTCACTCCAGAGTAAACACTCGCTCAGATAATGTCAGATCAACTGGCTGTGCCGCCCATTGTGTGCTCGACTTTATCTTTCATGTTTTTTTTTCTCGTTTCCTGCAAAAGAAATAACATTTAGACCCGAATGCAAAGTTGCAAATGGCAGTCTGACCTATACTGTGTATCCAAAGCAGCCCTGACCTTATCTTTGTTTGTGTGTGTGTGTTGTACGTTTGAAGAGGTGGGTGGGTGGAGGGAGGGGGCATTGGTGACATCACTATCAGGGAGGATCCAAATGGACAGGAAAGTCAATTAGAGTTTAACTGAGTTTACCAGCTGGTAAAAGAGAGAGAGAGAGAGCAAGAGCGAGAGAGGAAAAAGGGGAGGAGAGCACAAAAGAGAAGTACAGACAGATTCAGAGAGGAAGGGAGAAAGTCAGAGGAAAACTAGCCGGCACAAACTTACAATTCATTATTTCTTTCCCCTCAGCTGCTATTTTGCATCCTAGTCCTGGTATAAGAACGGCATCCAGTCAGCCACAAGAAAACCAGTGGATGTTTTTAAAGAGTGCACTTCAGGATGAGTGCCTGAGGACAAGCTGGAGAGGTGAATCCAGCAGAGGCAGACGCCGTCCACTCCGTCCTCAGGAGCGAATGAGAGGAGAGGGTCTGTAACGCTGGAGCTCAAGGACAAACCATGGACTCTGCACACCTCCCACTTCACCTGGACGTGAGTACTACCCTTGATGCTTGCAACGTCACTTATATATTGGCTCACGGGTCTTGTTTTCCAGTTTAAACGTGGTTTATAGAATGCAAATTGATTTTGCAGCTTAAAAATGTATATCTTGAATGAAAGGGATACTTCTGTCACCCTCAAGTTCTGTTCTGTTAAACACAATATGGGTAATTAAACAGTTGATGGGGCCCGTTGACTTCACTTGTAAATAGAAGAGAAAAAAATACCTTAATACCTAATATTTTTACAATAAAATATTTTTGCAATCGTTACAATAAAAATTGAGTAATACAATATTAGTAGTGAGGAGTGGTAGGGGTGTTGGTAATGAAGATGGTAATACATAATAAATGGTTACTTTGTTTACGCGTACACACTTTTATTTCACTTCTGGAATTAAGGAATTACTAGATTGTTTGCTACTGTACTATTTTGGTTTGTATGTCTGTAAAAAATATTGTTGGTTTAACTTAAAAAAATTAAGTAACCTGGTTGTCTTAAAATTTTAACTTGATTGAACTACAATGAAGGAGATTGATTTAATCATCAGAAACTCAAAATAATAAGTTATCTGAACTAAATAAATTAAGTTGATTTGAGAAAAGAAAAATGTTGTGATTACAAATCTTGAAAATATTTTTTACAGTGTGACTGTTAAAAAATAATAAGAAGAAAAAAAAATACTATGGAAGTTGAGAGGGGGCCCATCAAGGTTACTGACATTCTTCAAAATATCTTTATTTTGTGATTCATACAGGTTTCATTTCATTTCATTTCATAGTTGGGTGAACTATTTTCTTACAAATAGCATATTACTTTGTGTTTTAAGCACAAATCATACAAAAATAAGTCTTATCTTATACAATTCGTCTTCTCGAGTCAATATATCTTGTTTTAAGGATTTTTAGATACTAAACAAGACGCCATGTTCTGCAATGTGTGACTCAAATCTGATTAAACTCACTCGAACGTCAACCAACCACTCATTTAACGTTCCCCTGCTCTGAGCTAAAAATTCACATGCATTGCTCTCCAAACCCAATGACAGATTCATAGCGGAGATGCTTCCTCAGAACATGTGAAACAGGCAGATCAGTGTTTCCATGAAAAGCAAAAAGCATGCAAAAGCTGCGAAGATCTCCTTGCTGGAGCATTCAGAAGAAGAGATAGAGAGTAGATGTAGATGCCTTGGCTTGGGGGATAAAATATAGAACCAATACTGGATAACTGGATAAATCAAAAAGACACAATCTGGCAGAAAAGGGGAAGTTCAGAGCTTTAAAAAGTACGTTTTTAAGGAGGTTACAATGTTGGGTTCACTAAAATAGATCATTCAGCGTTTGCCAGATAATAATCCAAACTGTCTGAGTGTTTCAGGACCGCCAAAATGGTCAAATTGATAACAGAAAGTTATGTGGGGGTTAGGGGAGGATTCTGGGAGGAAATGTCTCGTCTTGTCTGGTCTACTCTACTCATCCTTGGAGACCACTTGAGTCTGTTCTTAGCTGAACTTTTGGCAAGCTGCTCACGGTGTGTGTTTGTGTATGTTTCTATAGCAGTATCAGTGAGTTCTGGAGTGTGTCTTTCAGTCTGTTGTGTGTCCGTTCCAGTGAATGTTATGGGGCACAATCTGAGGTCTGGACCGCTGTCATTATCTCTTAATCGGTCCAGCTGGGATAAATTACAGGTCTGTGCTAATTTACCCCCAATAAAACCGCTCTACGGCCTACCTGCAATATTATTCTAATGATTTCATCTCTTTAATTCAGCCAAACAGAGGCGCAGCTCGACCATTTGTGACTTCTCCCATACCTTAGGTGCTCAAACTTAATGTGGGTACCCTTTGCATCCAAAAAAAGTAAAGTGCTCCCTCTTGAACAGAATGATAAAATGTGTTGGGAGGGGCGATCTGGGGAGAAGCAGTCTAGGGAATGAACGAAAGGAAGAACAACAGGAAAGGAGAGCGGAGGGATCGGGGTACGGAGTGAAATGTGAAACACGAAGACAGCGGTGGAGGATAAATCAGCAACAAGCAGAGGCACCATTGACCCCTATGGCCCTTCACTGCTGACTTCTGGGTAAATCCAACGGGGGGAAACATGAGGGAGAGAGAGAGAACTGGCCTTTCCTAGAACTATGTAACAATATATCAATTCTGGAAGTCCTGCTTTACAGGAAGAAAACTGATAAGAAGAATAAAAATAGGGGAAAAAATGTGGAACCAAAGCTGAACGAGATAAGTGGATGCAAGGACACCCTGCCCTCCACTCTGAGGTCAGAAGTCACATCGCTCTGGTAATGGCACGAGTCTGGCCGACCTTTCCTCTGCCGGGGTCACCCCTTGCCGTCTGTTCTGGGGTCTAAAAAACGCCCCTTTCCGCCTCCTCCATCTGATTAGCGCTCTCCCTGTAGAGGAAGTTATTAAGTGTGGAATCCAATCACAACAGAAACAATGACACGCATGCAGCATGGGGTGGGAGGGACTGCGGGGAAGACAGAAGCGAAGGAGTCTAATGAAGTTTTAGATGGGAAGCTACACCTCTGCGAGGTCCCACTGGGCGGGACAATCGGGTGGATGGGTAAAAGCCACTTAATCTACTTTACTGCCGGATGCTGTGGGCGTGGGGGATTGTCTTATCCTGTGTGTCCTTAGAGGATTTGGCTGGACTTTGGTGAATGAGTGTGAGCAAGAGGGAGGGGACAGAGGACAGCGAGAGGACGGTATTCATCCGCTTCTCCGGTGCGTTTTAACACCTGTAGTTGAGGGTTATCCTAGACTCCCAAAGGAGTCGCTGCTCAGCAAGTCCTGACTTGAGCAGATTCTACATCAAAAGAACACTTAGTTTGACTCAGATGTAAGTGTGTCTGGCCCCGGTGAGACCACCCAGCACCTTGTCGAAGAGTCTTCTTGGATAAAACCTTAGATACATTTAAAACCACTCATCCCTCAGTTTGTAAGATCAGACAAAATGTGTGTTTACAGTGATAAGGGAGGACTACAGGCCAGGCTTGGATTCAAAGTCAAAGCTGTTGATGGCTGATTTAACCATTTGCGAGTTTGTCTTTCAGACACCTCCTGCAAACTCCACCATATTTGTAAAGGACCCTTTGAAGGCTTAAGTAGGCTTAGCGTTGAAAGAAAAGTTCACTTTGAGAAGATTTTGCCACTAATGGATGACAGCTATTAACAATTATGGTTACAGGTATGGTTAAAATTATGGGTGGTGATGGAGCAGTGGATAAGACACATGCCTTCGGTGTAATAAACCCGGGTTCGAATCCACTGTGAGACACCAATGTGTCCCTGAGCAAGACACTTAACCCCTAGTTGCTCCAGAGGCGTGCGACCTCTGACATAAATAGCAATTGTAAGTCGCTTTGGATAAAAGCGTCAGCTAAATGTGAATGTAAAAATTAGATTTTACTGAAACGATGGAGATGTGTGTGCCAGTCTTTCCTTTCAGGTAACAGAGCGGCTGACAGTGACATAGACAAGGCCCAGATTCAGACTTTACAAGTTATGTTAACCCAGCAAACACAGAACGTTCCCCCAACGTTCCCGAATTGTCCACGAAACGTTCCATGTATGTTATTTTTATGTTCTAGGAACGTTCTGGGAACCAAAAACTAATGTTCCCAGAACCAAAATTTGTTTGCTGGGAAACTTTCTAAATGAAAGTTGTAAAAATTCTGACTGCTTCCTCTTTGAGTTCTGTCTTTAGTTTCCATTTTTATAACGTAAGGAGAATGTTCCGGGAACGTTCCCCTAATCTTCAGGGAAAGTTCTAGGAACGTTCTGGGAACCAAAAACTAATGTTCCCAGAACAATCCCAGAACCTAAATTTGTTTGCTGGGAAACTTTCCAAATGAAAGTTGTAAAAATTCTGACTGCTTCTTCTTTGAGTTCTGTCTTTAGTTTCCATTTTTTATAAGGTAAGGAGAATGTTCCGGGAATGTTCCCCTAACCTTCAGGGAAAGTTCTAGGAACGTTCTGGGAACCAAAAACTAATGTTCCAAGAATGTTCCCAGAACCTAAATTTGTTTGCTAGGAAACTTTCCAAATGAAAGTTGTACAAATTCTGACTACTTCCGTTTTGAGTTCTATATTGCATACTATATCAGAGAATAACTTGATGAATAAAAGCTTGTTGCTTTATTTTATTCTTCAAAAGCTCACAAAATGACTTGCGAATGACTGGGATAAATCTATGAAGAAAAAAAAAACAAGCAATAAACCATCGCAACACTAAACCTCCCAGTCTCAAATTACTTTTGAAAGGTGATTTACTTTAAGTTGGTCACAACCATAAACATTAGAGTGCAGACACAATCTGTAAACTTTTAGCCTAGTGATTATTGTCAAGCAACTGTTTTAGACACACAAATGACAACCAGTCCCTCTCTTTGGGTCACCGGCATGGCGTCAACAAAGACACATAATCAAACTGCAAAATTTAAATCTGCTTTCATCAACGTTAGATTGAACATATGCCTCACGAGTCACGACCATCCTAAAATGACCGCGCCCATTTTAGAAACAGTAAATTAAATAATGCAATTTAATATAACGTAGCATAACAAAGCCTAGTATAATGCAATATCGATTTGAATGTACTGTAAGTTAGGCATGTGCTTTTCAAGAACACAGTACACCAATGATGGATGTCCTAGGTTATTCTCATTTGTCAGGTAAATTAACTTGAGAGACACAGGCCTAATGAATTGGTCTAACAGGCCTATTGTAGACCTCTAAATCAAACACCACAGGCCATGATCTCTGTAAAACTACTTTACTGTAGTTTCCTTATGGTGCTGTTTCTGCGATTACCGTCTCCAAAACAACAAAAACCAGTAAATCAACAACAAAAACACAGAGTGAATGTTCCTTGCCATGCCACAAACCAAAGTACCTGCATTAAATCACCTGCCATATAAGGGAAATCAAAGACTTAAGGGCTAACGCTAAAATGGTCAACTACCATGGTAAATGGGTTTCACTACATTACATTATTTTCAAGACAGGTTTTGTGGATAGTTCACCCCAAAATTTTCTCATTTAATGAAAGTCAATGAGGTCCACAACAGAAAAGAAAAACAAACATAATCTTCAGCAGTCTCAAAATGGCTCATCTTTTTACCGCTCTCTTCATAGGTCCAACATGTTCCCTGCTAGCCTACTGGTTCTGATGATCCTGCTGCTACCTCAAGCCTCATCAGGACACCAGGAGGATCCCAGTCAGACTCATGGAAACCTGGCCAGCCCTCTAGAGCCTAGTTTGGCCCACACCATTCAGAACCTCCTGCTGAACCGTCTGGGCCTTCAGTCACACCCCAACCCCAGTGAGGAGGCACGGGTGCCCCAGTATCTTCTCGACCTGTATCGATTCCACACTCAACAGTACCATCTCATTGAAGACCCAGAGTTTACCTACCCCTCCCAGCATGTGCAAGGAGCCAACACAGTTCGATGCTTTCACCACACAGGTATGAGCGTCTATTGTACTAGATCACAGAGAACACCAATTCCCTTGGCAGTGATGAAAAGCTAACTTTGCCACACACACAAAGTCAATTAACCTGCCTTAGGTGCCAACATGCCCGCGGAAAAAGCTACCTGTGGATTCTGATATTTTTCACTCAAGTCTTGGCATTAGTGTAGATACCTTGGAATAAGTTAAGAAGAACATGGCTAATTTTCATAAGTGCTCCTAGCAAATGATGTGCAATTATTATTTAGTTGGACAATTATGCCATTATGTAGAGATCGAGTGTTTGATCACGATGGAAAGAAAGTACTTTTTCTTTCTCTTTTTTCTTGTGTAGAGTCTACAGCGCTGAGTCTTCCAGAAGAGCAGAACAACATTCACATTGGCTTCAATCTGTCCTCCATTCCGTCAGAAGAGAGTGTGGTGTCGGCAGAGCTTCGTTTCCTTCGTGACGGGTTTAGTGGAGGGTCTCACGTGGCCAGACTTTATCTTTCCGACGATGACCCAGCGTCAAAACCCACACTGCTCCATTCACGCCGGTTGACTAGAGATAGAAAAGGTGCAGAACTTTGGGAAACCTTTCCCCTGGATGGAGAAGTGTTTCACAATCTACCCAAGAGGTCAGGGAGCCTGGCTTTTATTCTGGATGTTATTGCTGATAATAACAGCAGTCTTCCTAAAGAGCGACATCTGAGGGTGCGCAGGTACTCGGGGCAAGATGAGCCCAGCTGGGCGAGGCAGAGGCCATTACTGGTGACTTACAACCATGATGGACGCAGCGAGCCCTTTGTGCCCCTCAGAAATTGGACCCCTGCCGGCAGGCGAGGCAAGGGCAGGGGCAGGGGCAGGTTTAAGGGTGATAGGGGTCAGGGCTCTGACGAAGGCTGGCGGGTGGGACGGAACGACAGGAGAGTGAAACGAAATGGTGGGAGGGCCGCCAAGCTCAAACGACTATCCCGCTCTCGCTGCCGTCGGCACCCGCTGTACGTGGACTTCAAAGACGTGGGCTGGAATAAATGGATCGTAGCCCCATCCGGTTACGATGCTTTCTTTTGCCTTGGGGAGTGCCGCTTCCCACTGGCTGACCATATGAATTCATCTAGCCATGCCATGGTTCAGACGCTGGTCAACTCTGTAAACGGGGCCGTGCCGCGGGCTTGCTGTGTGCCGACGGCCCTTAGCCCTATCGCCCTCCTCTACTTGGACCAGGAGGAACGTGTGGTGTTGAAAAACTATCAAGACATGGTGGTGGAGGGCTGCGGCTGTCGATAGCAAGATACTCAGAAGGGTGGACTGGAAAAGGGTGTAAAATCAGGAAGTGTGAAACTGAAAGAGACAAAGAAAGCGAGGTAAACGGTCATAATAAAACCATGAGCACCTTCTCATAATCCTCTGGAAGCCAGCTTTGACTTCTTGCGTCCAATGAAGCATTGTATTTGTGTGAACTATAAGCACTCAGTCCAAACGTGATGTCTCCGTCTTATGTAGTACACTCCAGCTTTCTGTCTTGTTGTTGTGTCTATCCTGCTTCTGTTTTGTGAGTCCATCACATCATTGACAACTCAAAGGGACCAAGAAGTGACCAAGGACTCTCATTGAGCATTTGGTGACGCTGGACGGACTTAAACCCGAGGGAAGAATATTGAACTCTTCATCTCTGGTAGCAAATGAAACTTCAAAGTATGCACTGCGACAGAGACTATAACTGAGTACGGGGCACTTCTCCTTATGAGCTATTTAAAAAATCCTGACACCAAGAAATTATGACGTTATTGTCTGACTGTGTTAGTGATATTATTTATGGTGACCTGTTCTTTTTATGTATGGTGCAGTCCAAAGAAAAGTTTGCTATACAAATACTGTGGTAGTAAGTAAATCTAATTTAAGAATGCGTCAATATATCTATTTAAATAGCAAAAAATATGGAATATTTAATCTTGATAAATACCGCAGATATATAAGTACCAGAACGCCTTATAGATCCATTTAAAGCCAGTTAAAACTGGAGTTACTCATCTATTATTTGTAAAACCACAGCACTGAATCATGGCAGCTTTATATTGGCATTCACTAAACAATGAGGGCTCTTTCCTTACAATAGAAGCCTTGTGAAACAAAGAAAATTGCCTAAACATTCCAAGATATGGTGCCAAATGTTATGTTATGTGCCATAGGTGTGCAAGCTTGCTAAATGGTATTATACATAACTTTGTGTCTTCGGTCATCAAGTGTTGACCAAACTGTCAGTATTTAAAGACATTCAGATCAACAACAACAACAACAACAAAATCATCCAAGCTTATTCCGATGTTCTGTCATGAATAGCCGATTATATTTTAGTATGATGCTTTATGTGCAGTTTAAACAAAAGCCTTGAGAATGTCTGACATTGTCTGGAGCCATTGTGAAATGTGTAATAATAAACAGCAAACTAATCCGGCAGTTCTAATCAAATTTTCTTTATGAAAATGATCTCAGTCTTTGACTTTTCTCTTCTTCAGAATTGCTTTCCAAAACCCATAATTTGGAGGAATACATTTCATGAAATGCAGTGGTTAACATACCAATAAAAAAATTGCACTTAAGATAATTGTGTATATTGTGTATACAAATAAGTATAAGTATTAAACCAGCCTGGGGCATTTGTCATCTGGTCAGGTTGGGAGACCAGCTTATACCAGGTAGCCTAAGACATAATGCCTGGTTCTGATTACACGATTTTTTTTTTTTTTTTTTTTTTTTGTTGTCTGTTAGATAGTCACTGTGTCAGATTAGCCTACGCGATTTTGACTCCTAAAATATTGTCGTGTCGTCGTGGACAAGACATATGTCAGACTACACGTTGAATTCCTGACCAGTCATCGCGTGCCGTCTTTAACGGCGCGCGTGTTGTCATCGAGATGAAGGCGGAGTGACTTCCGGAAACGAACGTAAACAAACAATGGATGAAAAAAAAAGTAAAAAAAGAAAGAAAACCCGACGATGGACACCTTCCTGGATTGCTCGAAGAGGACAGTATGGGCTGTCAATTCTCCAAAGAGAACTTGAGGTAAAATATTGCTTTCTTATAAATATTTTTACTTTTAGTTTTAACGTTAGCACCATCGTCTCTTTCGTTTCGCCATTTTTGAAAGTTGTGTACGGATAAGCTTCTGTTCTCCTATTGGTCAACCTCATACAAGTGACAGAACCGCCGTAGGCGACCGTTAAAAAAAATTAAACATGCTATTCTTTTTGTCGTGATGTCGTGAAGTAGGCTTTTGCAGACGCAACGTCGATTTCGCCCACTATGACACACTATACCATAGATATACACTAGACTTCACCTTGGGGCTCTAAGTATGCGTCAAAACCGCCGCCATCTTGGAACAGGGGTCTTGTCATAGGAAGTAGCTAGGTAACGCTGCTATCTCTGCCTTTACGTCGAATTCATTGATGGTGGCGGACTTTTGTGCAGTGTATGATGTTCACGGATGAAATCTGAACTAGGAAGAATGTTTTTGAAAAAATTATTATTTTTTTCTTTCTGGAATCAATGATAAATACATGTCTGACCGTTGGAGCAAACCAAAAAAAAAAACAAGAAAAATCGCATTCATGATGATTTATGGTGATTTTATTTCCGTTAGACCTGTGTCTACTACATTGACGCTGATGCATTAAAGTGGAGGGGCTCCCCTGTTTCAAGATGGCGGCTCTATTGACGCATTCGTTCCAATGAACTGCCGTAGCCAAGGTGACGTCTAGTGTATATGTCTATGACACTATACGAGATGATATGATCGAATCTTGCGTCCCGGCGCCCGTTGTCATTTACGAATCCCCACAACACTCTACGTCAAACGGATTGGGCTAAAATCGTGTAATATGAACCAGGCATAAGATGCTTTTTTAGCTGGGGACTTGTCGAAAGCAATCTGGTGGAAGGGCTCTGAAGTGTTAGGAAGACTGTAAAATGTCAGTTTATCAGGTCTCTCATTATAGATTTTCTTCCCTTAGCATCTGTTTTTCATCCTTCAGAGGATCTTGGACCCAGTCTGCAGTGGTCTCTATGTTTGGCTGTGGTTCATTCATCTCATAGTAAATGAGAAGAGCAATTGAGTATTCTCAGTTCCATAAACCTTTGGAGACCAGGGTAGGAGGAGAAGATAAAGATTGAAAATTACAGGAAAGACAGCTCATTAGTGTTTCATCTGTCTTCTAGAGTGTGTGTGTGTCTCAGACAGAGTGATGTATATTCATTCAGTAATACAATATGACCAAAATCTTACTTTACAGTTTGAATGAATTTATATCACTCTAACAGTGCATATAATGTATATATCATGGTATAATTATTGTACTAGAAATGTAACATAATCTATTTGTTGACACATTTCTACCACAGTCACAAAATCTAGCTATCCAGAATTAGAAAACCGCAGCTGGAGCTGTCCAAATCAACCTTAAATATATTGTTCTTTAATAGATGTCACATGTTCCACACCATAAAGAGTCTGTGAAGAACTAGGCCTATACATGAAGCATTTTCAAGTATCATAAAAACGCATACGAGCAGGAAAATGGCCTTTGACTTGTGATGTCTTCTCTCTCATCCCCATATCTGTTTGTCATCACAAACAGGGCTTATCTTGCCAGTTATGAGGGTCGGGTTGACCTATGAACTGAATTGCAGTGGCCTTGACATCATACTTGTATATAATAGCACATTCGCACAGCCATAAATCAACATAGCCAATAGAGCACCCAACAGGAATGCACATAAAAGCCATTTCTGTGCTGTTCATCAATTTTTGTGCAGTTTACACATGCTAACTAAAGGCAATTTTCATCTCAGCCACCCTAAAAATCTTTGATGAACACAGCTGTCAACACCCAAAATGTATAATTGCCTAATTAGTCCCCTTAAAATGTAGTCCTCTGTGATTATGTGATCTTTCTTTTCATGTTTACAGTAAACAACAGCTGCAGATTACTCAGGGACCCACGGGCGGACAAATAAATCAGTGAGGCCACGGCATTATAGCCAAGACAAACAGAGTGAAGCTGTGAGTATTCAAACAGTAGTGCTTAAAGTCTTCACCCTTCTAGACAAAGTGTTGGTTTCTATCAATGTAATACTGTCTGAATAGAACAAAACATTGAAGTGATAATTTTCAGTACACGAGTTTAAAGTTGCATTCAGTAGTTTGGCGATAAAAACACATTAAAGGTGCAGTATGTAATATTGACAGCTAGTGGTTGAACTGGGTACTGCAGACCAAATTCAAAATATTGGAGAAGGTCGTTTACCCCACACCTTCCACGTGGGTTGCCAGTTTGAGGACACACAACAGGGTTGTGTGAGTTGAATGAGTTGATTTTTCCTTGTTTTATTTTCATAAGACTCTGGTCATAGAGCTTTTTAGATGGATGCCGAAGCTTTTTAGTTGGGTATAATCTGTGATCCCAGTTCGTTTGCTGGCTTTCATTCGCCAACTGGCAATCCAGTTTGTCAAAATGCTATTGGGAAAATTGGCAGTGGGCGGGATCACACAGACCAAAACAAAGACATTCTGATGCAGAGTGGACATTTCAAATTAGAATAACTGGCTTTAGAATTGTTTTTCTGAGAAACGACTAGTGTGTGAACTTAACAATTATCCTAAATGCTTTATTACATAAAAAAAAAACGTTTTTTAAAAAATTTAAAAGAAAACAAACAACGCCTTTTAAAGGGATACTTCACCCAAAAATGAAAATTTAGTCATTAATTACTCACCCCTATGCTGTACCAACCCCGTAAGACCTTCGTTCATCTTCAGAACACAAATAGATATTTTTGATTAAATTTGAGAGCTGGATCACTGCTACATAGGCATGCGCGAGAACTGCGCAAGAAGTAGTAGAATAAGCATAGATAAGAACGCAATTCTCGCGCATGCGTCGTGGAAATCTCTTGAACTCTCGTCTCAGGCCCAGAAGGAAGAAAAGGATTTGTCGAATAAAGTCGTTATTTTTGCTTGTTTTTTTCGCACAAAAAGTATTCTCATGGCTTGATAAGCTTAAGCCCCGTTCACACTACACGCGACTTTGTCGCTGCAGGTCGCCAGTGGGCGTTCCTCACTACTGGTTGCCTAGTAATGTTTGTGAGTGACATTCACAGAAGTTACTCTATGTTAGACAAAAAAATACGTTTTATTGCCGCTACAAACAAATATTTTGGAAGGAAAAGTCTAAATATAAATGGAACCAGTACATGAAATGCATAATATTAAAGATGAACGAGTGCTCTTTGCCATCGCGGCTAATTTAACTGCAGCAAACGTGCAAATACCGATCTATCCGTGTTCCCGAAACCATTCAGTTACAGAGTCAGTATGGTGAACACCACTGTATGTAGTATGTACACGGAGATATATCATACATTGACGGTTAAAACGAGCTTCTCGATCAACTTGCCTCGGTCAGACTCAGCGCTGAAGAGTGACGCGCTCCACTGACTTCACTCCTATTGGTTGTCGCTCGCGAAAATCGCCCTTCATTTGCATAAAGTTAAACATTTCTCAACTTTACCGCGTCGCTGGACACGCCCCACCGGTCGCCGTCGCGCGTGTCGTTGGAAGTCGCCCACTCACCATTGAAAATGAATGGTATCGCGTCACTTGGTCGCGTGTAGTGTGAACGGGGCTTTATAGTTGAGCCACTGTAGTCACATGGAATATTTAAACATTTTCTTCAATGACTTTCTGGGCCATCAAGTTTCGATCCCTTAGGGTGCCGTAGCAGTGATCCACCTCTCAAATTTAATCAAAAATATCTTCATTTGTGCTCCGAAGACGAACAAAGGTCTTACTGGGTTGGTACAGCATGGGGGTGAGTAATTAATTTTTGGGTGAACTAACCCTTTAAGAAATAAACTGTTTTTGTGAACAGTCAGAAGACTGTGCTCAAAACAGTTTTCTACAATATGTGTTTTAACTATATGGCGAAGTTCACCGCCCTCGATGTATTGCACCATGCTGAAATGAAGTGAACCACCATATTTCTCAAAATGCCAAAGAGATTTGACAATGCAACATATTGTCGTGATTTACCAGCAGAGACAACTAGAGAATCTCTAACTGAATGGCAGAAATATTGGCAGAAAATCCAGAGTAGTCATGACCAAGTTGGTTCAGTTTTTGTTGGACAGGAAAGGGAATTAATTATTGTGTAGATCGCTCTCTAAAACTTGGATGATCATCGTGGTTTTGGTACTTAAAAATACACAAAGAACAGCAATGTTAATACTAGCTGAAGAACTATTCTGCATGGTTTGTGTGAGTTTTCCCACTTTTGTTTCTATTTTAAAGACTTAAAGAGGTGTGAAACGCTCCCTAGACATTCGGTTAGAGGTTAAAGAACAACCCATACATCGTTTCCCCCGTTTAGTACCACCCTTACACTTATCCCTCATCAGGAGGAACATTGTT